GAATTAAATAGTCACTAACACATAGCCATGACGCCGATTTTGCTGCTGTAATAATTCTTCGGAAAGCTTTTCAACTTTCTGCCGTGTAAGTACCTCTTCTTTCGCGATTTTTTTAAATTCAAACTCATGATTGTAGCACTGATTATTTGTTGTTGTTTTACCTGAATTATCATTATTACAAAAAAGTAAAGCAAAAAATATATAAAGTTAGCATTGTTATGATAGTTAATTATAGATATAATCGCCAATTCTTCAACAAAATCTCACTCAATTTTATTAAATATATTTAATGACTGTCTTTTTATTTTTCTTTTTTGCTACAAAGCGATCTAAAAAGAAAACTCAAGAATAATGTTCGGTAATTCGAAAGGTGAGGCGAATCTAAAATCTCGCACGTTTTATACTTAAGTCTTCGCTTGAAGAATAATAAAAGCACTATTTTGTTAGCAGACAGAAAAATGTTTGTCATGCCCGCATTGAAATGCAAAGATCTAACAGTAAATTCATCATTTCATACGAATTCATCATTTCATATTATGATATATATATAATTGTGGTGATACCAGAAATGTTTTTCGTGAAACATTTGTTGCAAAATATGAGGGAACGGAAAAGCGAAAGATGATTTCTATTTTTTTTTTTTGATTTTTAATAAGAAATGAAGCATATGCGTTTTGCTTTGCTTGCTAACAAATTAACATAATTATGACGTTAATTACTTATGTAATTTGAAACTTAGTTAATCAAATAAAAGTGAAAAATAAAATAGATTAAATATTTACGAATTACTGCAAACCATCGAGGTTATGGAGGTAGGTTATTGAGGTATAGTCGAAAATTTACCAAATTTTTATTTTCAAGCAGTTGCAAACGAAGTCGTTGACAACTAGTAAATAAATAAAGCATAATAAGATTAACTATGCACTTCTTTCAACTGCCACTATCGACTTTACTCAACTACTCTCTATGGATGATATTGTCTCTTTTTTCTGTGTGCTTTGACTTCAGTATCATACAATTTTGATGCTTTTATAAAATTTAAAAATCGTTCTTCATACTAATTTTGCTGCATGCAGTTCAATATACATCCTTGTTCATGAATTTTTTGTTACTTTCAGTACTTAATCCGGTGATTCTATATCATTAGTCTATTGTACCGTAGAGTCAAACTAACTCAAACTTTGCAAATACTTTCAAACAAATCAACAATATTTTATGAAAGCAATAAGTGTATGTTTAAATGAGCAATATAAATATAAAACAAAAAGTAAAAATTGTAAAAGACGCACCTGAAAAGGTGTATGGTAAGGAGTGAGTAGAAGAATAAGGTAATGATGTCAAATTATCAAAGTGTTTGAAGACAGAACAACGATTGTTAGAAGTGGTAAGCAATGCTGGCGACACACTGCAACTTCTACTTGCTCTCTGAGCATTGTTATTACTACTACGATTACAGTTACTTGCACAAGCTTGCAAGCAGTCAAGCAAACTTTGTAAATAAATGACAGATTCATCCAGATGACCACTAATTGTTATCGATTTCATAAGTTGATTAAGTTGATCTGTGAATAACTCCATGTGAATTCCTTTCTTCCCTCCCACTGCCTTATAGAGATATTCCATTTCGTCCCATGAAAAGTTATCACATATCAAACTGCAACTGTATGATCTTTTCTTTCGGGCAGACTTTTTACGCGTAGCAACTCCTGATCGCTTTTGATCATGTGATTGTAAGCGATAAGGTGGTAAATGAAAATGTTGCGTTTTAGAGCGCTCTTGTGCAAAATTGTTAGTGATATAGTGATAAAAGGATGATGATGACAGACCAGAATGGCTACCATTATTTAACTCACTACGCCACTCAGATTCTGTATTTGCATGCCAATCATTTTTTGTACACTGAAGATAAGGTCGTTCAATAGTTCTGTGTTGATTTTCTACGTTACGTCCAACACTTTTGCTACGTCTCGATTGCAGTTCAATTTTCTTCAGATAATCAGTTTGACTGTCACATTGCTGATTAGGTGTCCAAGCCCCTATAAATATGTTTTTCTCATTACCAATTTACCACTGTTAGAACATTACTTTCCTGTCTTCCAAAAAATTAAAAGCAAAACATTTTTGAAAATCATTTTATCGTATGATAAAGACTTACGAGTTGCCCGCTGCACGGTTGATGCAGGAGATAAATGGTCCTGTGATTGATGCTTCAATCCAGGATGATCTGAAATCATAATTGCCATATAAATCATCCGTCATTACAGAGGAGTAAAAAAGTTTCTGTTGAAAAAAAACGATCAGAAACATAGCAATTTTGTATTCTTTAATGCTTTGAAAAACTAAATAAATTTTTATTTTCCAATCCAACACACAGCATTTGTGTATGAGATTCTATATTTTTTAAGATTTTTGCTAAAAACTTTCATCAAAACATGTATTTCTGTATAAAGTACCGGAAACGACCAATTATTTGGTTATAAAAATGTAAAAAACCGAAATTTCAAGGGACAAGGAATATACCGATTTCAAAAATACATGATTTTCAGGAATGTAAGAATATATACCGCCAAATGAGACTGAAACAGAAAGCATGACAAAAAGGACAAAATCAAAAGAAACGAAAAATGTTAATAAACAAAAATTCTATTACAACTCAGACTGGTTCCAAGAAAAAATAAAATATGCAAAATTTTGGATTTCAAAAAGTATTCTAAAATCTTGCAAAAAATTGTATCCAAAAAGGAAATACATACTGAATATTTCAAAAATCTAAAAAAATGCAGTCTCCATTTTTAATCAAAAAATGACCTACTATCTCTAATCAGCTTTGCAATAGACGACATTGATACACAATAATACAAACCATCAAGTATGCTGGAACCATTTATGCATTAAATTTTATTGGATGTTTGATAAAAAAAACTACAGAAGCGTAAAAAATTGACACACCAGGGAAAGTATTAGTAGTTGTGTCATTACTACAACCTTATTATAACTGACAGCAGCAAACATATGAATGGGGAAATGAATTCGTCTCCCCTTTTCAACTTTCAATTCAATTATTTTTTTTGTTAAAACTAATTAAAAATTTAACACTTGTCCTTTATTCATGTTTCGAACAAATGATAAGCAATATGCTGAATGATGGCTGGGAAACTGAGATCAGCCATGCCAACAATTGCCATATATTGTTTTACGGAAAAGTCTAGAGATTTTATTGAAATTTCAAATATATTCAAAGAAAATCAAAAAGCTATGGAAATCAAAAACGAGCTGATTTTTTCAATTTTCTCTTAATTACAGCTCAGTTATATTTAGAATAAATTACTTACAGAAAATAATTCAACAGGTTTATGAAATATTTTATAACTTATGAATTTATTTAAAAATTTTTGTGATATATAAACTCTGTATGTGAATATCCATGTTAAAGGAAGATAAAAATCTATTTTACGCCAATTTAAAATAAAATAATTATGATAATACTACATTAATTTCACAATATTTGGTAATAAAGTAAACAAGAAAAGGACATTTCATATTGGCACTGTAAATGTGAGGTCTAAAAGTAAAAAGAGCGAGAAGCAACTAAATACACAAACCAATATGCAAGAGTGGTTAAAGCAGTAGATTAAATTGATTTTCATGCATATTTTATATATGAAAATGAAAAAAGAAATAGAGAATGAATACTAATATAAAGTAAGCGATCGAGTCGCTCATTGCAGCCTGCAACAGCAATAATGCAAAATAAACATAGCAATCTGGCAGTGGGAGTGACAGATTCTGTGCCAAACCATCTTACGTTTTCTGCTCATCACTTGTAGAATTTACAAATAATTTCTTTTTAAATTATGCTTGGAAGATTTTTTCTGAGATGTGGCATTAAAACTAAAAAATTGCTCTTATTCTGCCAACATCAGCATTCAGCATAAACATGCTATAAAAAGTAGAAGCAGAATTTAAAAAATTTAACGTAATTTAAAATGACGAGATCGATTAATTTCAGAGCTTTTTAACTAATAATAAAAATCAGTTTTATTAAACTAATTAGTAAGTCAGGAGAAATGATTTGGATGCAACTGAATAAGAGTTCACCTAAACTCTGACATTAAAACTATAGGATTTTGAATTTTTCTCAAACAAAACAACGTCTTAATATTCTGCTAATCTATTAAAAATTAAATATTTTTCTACAATACAGAAGGTTAGCTTTTGATTATCCATACTTAGTCAATAGAAGTACTTACCTAATAGATTAACAACGTGCATTTTTTTGAACATTGTGCGGTACCAACTTGAGTTTTCCGTATGAGAGTCCTGTTGAGGTGAAGCAACTGCAGCAACGGTCATTTCTTGTTCTGGTACAGAACAATGACTGCTAATGGTTTTCAGCGGAATGTGAAGAGCTGCATGAGTTTCTGGCTGTAATGTCTTCAATAAACCATTTTCAGAACGTATTCCTGTCCTTAATTCCACTGGTTTCGAAAATAGAGGCTTATGAGCATCTGCTAATACTCGGGCATTTGTCACTGATGGAGAAGGAGCATCAAACTGACTTTTTTCGCCTCCAACGTTAGCTACTGGCAAAGTACCGTTACGTTGATTTTCGTGCTCATGATTACTATAAACAGGTATTTTTTCCAATTCACTACTAGCCCTTTCATTTCTACTTTTGTTTTGATAATTGACGAAGAATCCGGAATGGCTAGAATCTGATGGCATTGTAGCATGTTCATCTAAACTATGATTAGCATTAAAATCTATGATACCAATAGGAGCAGAGAGAGCGGAAGGAGGCAGTAGCGATTGACCTCTGTCCTGCATTATCGGACGATTTCTAGTTTCATTCTTTATATTTTCCGTTCTTTGATAGTCATTGCCATCTGTAGATATGTTGGACATGCTGGGTGAGTGCATTGTTGAGGAAGAAAGCACTGTTGTACGATTAAATGATAGTGGTGTAATGCAGGACAGATGTCGTTGTACCGGTTCATGAACAACTGACTGCTGCTCCGGTAGTAGCATCTGGGAAGTGAAAACTGCTTGTCTGCCATGTGTCATAGATGTGCTTGCTACCAGATGCTGCTGATGATTAAATTCCTCATTAGCATGCTCAATTACGTTTGATTCAGTTGTCAATTCTGACTCCTTCAGCGACGAGGATGGCGACTCGTTGATTAGTTGCATTTTACATGGAAGGATACCATTAAATGTTGCAATATGCGACGCTATTTTTCTTTCTAATTTACTTGCTATCTGCTCCCGCAGTGAAGCAACTGATTGTGGTTTCGGGATTTCAATGCTTTCTTCAGTCCTGTGGTTAGTGGAACTGATTCGGCCAGTATCTCTTGATTCCACTCGTAATGTCCACTTTTTTTTGCCAGGTGATGATGAGTCATTATTTGCAGTGACCTGCTGCAGTCCTTTTGATGAAGAAGAATGAAGTGATGGAGGAGGAGGTGGAGGCGGAGGAGGAGGTGCAGGGGACACTCTCGCTTTTGATGACTGTTCTAACAGTAACGGCAACTGTACTGTATCCAACATCTAAAACAAGTATATTTGAGTAGTTTTCGCAAACACTTCAATGTCATCATGTTATTTGAAAAGCGAAAACAAAGATTCACTTTATCTCAACTCTCCTTCATAAGCTTCGAGGCCTCAGATCTACTTTTACATAGCAGCTACAAAAGTAATTCTCGTATTTCAAAAATTTCACGTCAATAAAATAAAATTTATAGTAATTTACCAAATATTTTTTAAAACTTTTTCAAACGAAATTTGAAAGATTTAACTAGAAACACTTTTGTTTCAAAAACTAATAGTCAATCTCAGTGAGAAGCAATATGCAACGCATAGAAAACAGGCGGATGCCATTAATCAAATCGTTTTACAGATCAAGAAAAGAAATAATCGTGACTGCAAACTACTGCAGTTGTAACGGCTAATATATTATTTCCTTCGCAAATGCTGCGTTGTTTTGTGGTTCATTACATTCTTGCTTCTTATTTTTTATTCACTTATCTTTAAACTACACACTTTCTAGCTACTAGCCAACCACGCATCACTGTGAACATTATATTTTAGAATGAAACATGCTTCAGATTTATTGCTAATTTATTTTACGACTCATTTCAAATTTTTGTCAACTTAAATTAATGTTTACTTACAGATTCTTCTTTAACCTGATGTCAATTACTTTATATTTCTCACACTTTTACTCAGCACTGTCTATCTTCCTATTGCTTTTTTTAACTATCAAATTCCATTTAGAATTTTTTTTTCAATTTAGTTAAAAATTTAAATATTTCCATAAGTGAACGTAAACTAACTGTTTTCTTATAATGTCCAATAAATCTCAAAAATCGATCTTCTTACGAAATTTATGTATTCAAAAAATTGAGACTATATTACACAACTTGCTGAATGAATATTATTTAGCATAGCCAAATTTTTAAAATTCTACGATTACAACTTCTGGACAACTGTTTAAGTTTGAAATCAGCTGTGCTTTCTTAGTTTCTTGAATTTTTTATGAAGTTACAATTTTATAGAAGTTAGTTTATCTTCAGAGAAAAATAATATTCTTCTGGCTACCCTAGAAATTAGTCCATCTTCAATAATTAATTCGAAAAATCAGAAGAATATTATCTTGTTAGTACCAAAAAATCGTTGAAAAATCCTAGTTTGTTCTCACTTTTTTTAATCAAAAAATTATAAGCAATTGTAAAAAAAATATAACTCTTGGCTTGTGGAACTTGAAGAGTTAATATCAAAATAACTATATCTATATGAAAAATAACTTTACCATATTTTTGCCAATTTGAAGTAGTAGAATTTTTGCAAATTTCTATCATATATGCAAAAAATTTTGTCAAAAATAAGTTTTTGAAGACGACTTGGAATTTCTTTTCAGAGGGGGTTAGAAGGAATTAATGTTAACTCAGTTTAGAACCATAGTTAAATTTTAGTGATAAATTTAACCGGAACTTGCTGTTTGGGAAAGAAAATAACACCATGTAGGAATAATGAAAAAATATTGAGGAGACTATCATTTTACACAATTTTATCCATAAGTCTTTTAGTTTGTCTACAGATTTTCAAGTGCAGTCACACATAATGAACTGAAGCTCTCAAACAGACATAAATTTTGTGCAAGACATCAAGCAGAATTATTTTGTTTCAATTTCAAAAGGAGTGAATCTGGAAACTGACGACTTATAAATTAATAAGATTTTGGACTCCCTGATTATTCATAAATGACGCTGATTTGTTATCCATGAAAGCAACAAATTACCTTCAGCTTATGATTTTTGTGGATGAAATCATTCTTCTAATTTCAAAAACATTGAAATTCCATTTCTTGTAGTGGAAATGTTCTTAAATAATATTTTGGATAAGAATACAGTAGACTTCAAAATACTTCAAGCAGTCTTTCCGCTGACTAAATTACAATTATAAATAAATTTTATGTTCGTGATAATATTATTTTTAACAATGCTATGAAGTTCCTGAAGTATCCTTTGACAACCAAAAAGTAATTATTAACATTCGATTATGAAAAGTCTTCATCGCTTTAAATATATGCTTTTAAATTGAATATATTTTAGCACAAAATTAAATACAAATTTGCCACAAGATTATTTAATATGGTTTCTACAAAGAAAAAATATGAAACTAAACTTTATGAGGGAAATAATTTACTTGTTCATTTGAGCCTTCTGATCTTTTCGAGACTTCACTTTGTCCATCGACAGCCTGAAAATTTATTCTTCCACTCTCCAATCCATAACAATATTAAAAAGATGCAAGAAGACGCTTTTCGCTTTATTATTTACATTTTAGACTAGAGAAACGAAAGAAAGATGATTTTTTGCTAAAGTGCATGTGTAGAAAATGAAGATAAGAAATATTTTCGGAGTTAGATGGAAAAGAGGCGATATTTACAACATGCAAATTTTTTAAGGAATTTCAGAATCTTCTAATTTAATATTTTAAAAAAATTGGTGATGCTACCAAGCTCATCTCTATATCCATTCATTCAATTACAGGGTTTATTTATTTATTTAATTAATTAATTAATTTATTTATTTATTTAATTTATTCATCAATTCATTATTTTTATCTATTCAATCACCATGACGATGCATAGGTTTAACCAGAGAATAAATATATCAAAAAATCAGTTGCAGTAAAGAAAATCAAAAAGATTAGGGTACCACTTTCCACGAACATTGAAACAAACATATTATCTGCAAGGGCGAGAAACGCTGGAAAAAACAAAATTAGTTCAAATAGCTATTAGCTAGAAGTTAGACCGATGCAAAGCGTAAAGTGGGAAATTTATATCGTCTATTTGAATACCATCAATTCCACTTACTTCCTTTCACTTCACTTCATTTAGCATAATGTTTATTTACACCAAAAAAAACTACTGAAAAAACACAATGTATGAAATGGCTCCTGAATAAAAAATAACATAGTAAATTTAAAAAAGTCGTTGTGAGCAAGAAGATAAGACGATAAATCTAGTTTCAGGAAACGAGAAGAAAAAAAAGGATTATAATGGATTATGCATAAAATTCATTACATTATCTGTTCATTTGTCAATGGTATAAAGATCTATGACTTGAATTGTTTTCTAAAGTTTCGAAAAAAGTATTATCCATTTAAAAAGAAGAGACTAATCAATAATGCAAAGCTGTAATTTTTTGGGATTTTTTCATTATCCTTATCAAAATTCTAAATGCATTTGTACGAACATCAAATGAAAGTTTTATATCTATAAATTTATAGAGATACAACTCGCTTCTATAACATTTTCATCAAACGTTCAAAACTGCTATTTATCGTATGTGTTTATGAAATATTTCTCTTAACTTCGCATAAAGAGGAGTAAGTATCTCCGAAACACTAATGATGCAATGGTTCCTGAATGGAATAATATGATTATTTTCGCGCAGAAACTGCTTTTCTTTTTGATTTTGTAGTACAATTTCTTTGAATTTTACTTTTTGATAGACACTGATGCAAGGCTTAAGTTATTTAAATGTCCAGAATCATCATAAAATTCAATCCTTTAAAACTGACATAAAAATAGCAGTTCTATCGCAAAACATGAAAATTGTTGTTCGTTATGTGATCATAGAAAAATAAAAAGAGAAAGGTTTAAGCATGAACAAGAAATTTATAGAAGGAGAGATATAACTGTAATAAAAGCATAAATACTAACTGTGAAGCTGACGATGATGCTTTGTAGTATGAAAAATGCGAACTGAAATTTTTTTCAGGATTATATTTGTTAAGATCGCCAAGAGAAAGTTCAAGACTCTTCTCGGATTTGGGTTCAAAATTTGGTGCTGGCTTATGTACAGATTCAAACAAGATTGAATAAACGGATGTAGGCAACAGCTGGCTAGTTGATGGTGATAACCTAAGTTGCCGTGTTGTTGCCATTGTTGATATAGGCTCTGCCGCAGATGAAGATGCTGTAATTTTCTTTTACCTTCCAGCTCCACCAACTCCTTTGCATAAATGAAATTTGCATATCATTGCTGTTCTCTGCTTGCATTAAATTGATAAATATACTTTACACAGAATATTATCTGCTTTTAATCACTATTACAATTATCATTACCACAACTATACAGCTAATGTAAATAATTTTACTTTGCTTACTGATCTCGATTTCATTTTATATTTCCGTTGAACTAAGCTTAATCAAATAATTTAAGAGTATTCCCTTTAAACTTTGACATTTTTTCCTTTCAATGTTTTCGTTCAAGAATTCCTAAACTAAGATATGCAAAATATTGGCATTTAAAAAGTCTAATAGATAAAATTATGAAATTTTAAAAACATTCCTGAATTTTTTAAATGTTTTGCTTTTCACATTTAAAATCCTTCATTATTTATTATTTATCTTTTGAAAAAAGTTGATTCTCTTGCTCTATTATTTCTTTTCTTGCAAGCATTAGAAAAACTTTCAAGTGGATTAGAGGTTAGTGCATAGGAAATTACAAACAAATAATTTATCATCCAAACTGTAGTTCAAATACAGTTTGTTTCGAAAGACCAAAGAATAACATTAAATATTAGAAATTTGTGTAAAGTATTTGTTTACACATTGATATTTGATAAATAAAGAAATTAAGATCATAAGAAACTAACTTGACATAATGAAAAGTTTTATCTGCGAAATCATCACTGAAAATAAGCATTACCGGCTATCAGTTGAAAGATGAGGTAGTAAGAAAAGATCTCGAATTAGAGAATGATTGACATATATTTGATAATATTTGGAAAGTTGGATTAATGAAAGACAGCCATCTGAATGATTACCTAGAGAATGAATGATTAAAATAAGTGTGGAAATATGGGATAGTCGTTCAGTCAATTATTAATAAACTGATCATTTGGAATGGTTCTGGAGAATTATTTTGTAATGAAAAATATTTATCTTATTAAAATGAAGAAAAACAGGTTAGCCTAAACATTTTTGACATATACTTTAAGATACTAAGGCATAAAAACTGCTTTTCATCCTTTTGTAGTTGAAAGAGATAAAAATTCATTAGATTATATAATCAGATAAAATTTTTCTTTGAACAGCAATAAGATTTTATCAAACTGTTCTTTAAAAATATTAACAAATCTTTTTGGATTCACTGGAATAAATATTTGGTCACAAAGTACCAAATATGACCAAATATTTAATATCACTGCTCTTTGCTCTTAGTGATAAAATGAAACATTTCTTTAATTTGCAAAACTACAAAAGGCGTCAACTTTTTCACATAGCAATTGTAAGAAAAACAATATAAAGCCAATCTAAGCATTGAGAATAGCCAGCAAAATCTTCTTCTCTAACAGAATCATATCCAGAAATAGCTGTTTTGATCACTGGAATGCATTGACGATAATCCATATTGAATTTTATGATGAATGAGTTGATCCATGTGCATGGGAAGTCAAAAAGTCTGGTTTGCTAGCATTTCAAAAAAATGTTTCTTGAATCGAGCTGAACTATGCTTGTCTCCTAAATATCCAAATATGATTTATCTTTGTGTTACACTTTATTTCACTTGCAAACATTACCTTGACAAATCTTCTTTCTTTAATGCGATTTACTGCATTATTCTTATTCATTTATTTGTGTGCATCATTTCTTCAAGTTTATCCTTTACATTTAAAAGTTTTCACAGTTTGTAAGATGAGCTTCTGTAATTCAGGTACTGGTTATTTTTTAAAAGAGAAGAATAAGATTTGAGAAAAAATCATTCTATCCACCAGTGTAAATGAAATTTGATGGGAGAAGGAAGAATTTTTTGAGGAGAATAATCACGCATTGTTGCACGAAATACTAGCTTATCAGCAGATAGTTCTGAAATTTTATTCAGAATTACTGAAAACATTTTCCGTTTCAGGCGAAAAAGCTTGGATTGTTATGATTTGTGGATGGAGTACTTTTGCAGTTAGTCAGTTAATTAGTTGTAAAAGTGATTAGCTTCTCTGTATGCAAATATTCTGAAATATTTCAAAATACAGATAACTTTTGGAATTCTTTTAAATATGATCTAAACAAAAATACTGTAATTGAATTTTGGCAGCACTATTAATAATAACTCAATAACAAAATTCTTTTAATGTAATATTTTATGAGACAATAAAATGAAATTATAGAGCAAGCTTGATCGACCTTAAATCTCACTAATTATATCATGCTCAAAATGAATGAAGAAAAAAACTTAATACACATTTCACACAAAACTTTGCTCTTTGCAATCAATATTTACGATTAAGATGATAAGAGAGAAAAAAGAAGCGTGCTGCAAAAAAAAATTTTATTTATGAAAACACAGAATAACAATTTGAATTCCGCACATTCATCAATATCATCTGACAAAACACGAATCTTATCGAAAAATTACCAAAATAACCTATTATTTAACAGAAAGAAATGCCTTCAGTTTGTTTTACGACAAAAAACAATTCCTCGAACTTCTATTTCACTACCGAAATAATATTGGAAGTAATCTTAAGATTTTGATTCTGCGAAGAATTGATGCAATTATTATTTATCATAATCACTGCTTTGAACTGCATATAGGTATGCAAGATAAGATCCTGAACATTTCGAAAAACTGTGATAATAGTTAAAAATAAGTATTTGCTGATAATGGCTAGTAAAGTTCCACAAATCGACATTCTAATTTTCGGCACAAAAATTAGAAAAATGAATTTGCAGTAGCAGTAAGTAAAAGTGAACTATGCTAATAGTTGAAACACACTGTAAATGATAAAATGATTGCAATGCTGCACGTTAGTGAAATTAGGCTGATGATACTTAACATTAACTGCATATTTATAGTCAACATTGACAAAAGAACAGAAAGTTTTTTGACAATTATTGAGTGAAAAATTTATTTTGAAAAAATAAGGTACCTTAATCTTAGAAGTATTAAATAGTGATATTGTAAGATATAATTTGCTTGCTTTACAAATCCCACATATTTTTTTACACGTGATTATATAGCATAAGATGAAAAAAAAACATAATATTTATATTGTTGTCACTAACAGCGTTGAAATTTAACTATTACCTTTTCCACTTTTGCGAAATCTGCTCTCTCTAAATTAAACAACACTTTTTACAATTTGAATAGCTACTTACAAATTTTTATAGTTATTCAAAAAAATAGGAAAAATAGTTTAGAATTACTAAAAATGTCAATTTTAAGATCACAACAATGAGATATTTGAATTCTGAAAAGATGTATGAACGAGTTGCCTAGCCGCACAAAAGAAATGTTGTATTACTACCACGAGAAGTAACTTCCTTGCTCTCTTCAAGCAAACAATAACAACAACAAATGCAGTTATTCCCGCTCGGTTCTTCCCCGCATATCGAGATATTTCTCCCCCCTCGTTCTCCAGTTTCATAGACTCATACATTTTCCTGTATAATGTGCGACATTTCTGTTAGTTTCTCACTTGCCATATTAAATAAATTACATGCAGTATTACCATCACTGATAATAACCTGATCCGATCACAGTGGAAAAGTTTCTTATAACTTTTCCTTATTATACTAACACATTAAAAGGTTTATTTATCATCCATTTTTTATAATTTCAACATTTTCTCATGGAAGTTGCATACTTGTTTGTGTTTAAATGTACAAAATATTTTTTGCCATAATCATATGAAATGAAACTCGCGAATTTGCAACATAATATGAGGCAAATGATAAAAAATAATCAGGTCGTAAAAAACATATGTCAAGTTAAATCCTCGGTTTTGCTGAAAAAAAAAAACGTAAGATGAGCAGAAATTAGTTTAAAGTTATTCTGTACTGAATTAAACAAATACATTTCTTAAACGTAACTTTGCGTTTTAATGTAATCCAGAGTTGGTCACTACATTTTGTATCCTCCTAGATTATAAGTTATACTTTGTATAATGATAATTAGCTCATTTGAACAAACTATATTCATTCTAACAACTAAAATTTAGATTTTCTTGTAATGAAAATAAAGTCCAGAGTTGGTCACTACATTTTGTTTCCTCCTAGATTATAAGTTATACTTTGTATATTGTTAGATAATTCATGTTTTTTGCACATAAATTTGTATATGTGATGAGCCTTTTAGAACAAAAACCAAATAAATGAATGTGACTGAATAGACAGATCAAATGGTGTTACGACACTGGAACTAGTAAAAACATTAATTCCAGGTTATAAGATTATAAGAAGTAAAGATTTTAAAATAAGCTATATAAATAATAAATGAATGGTGATATACAATTTAAATTTAAATGATAGTAAAAATATATTCCAATCAAGTCACAATTCCAAAATTGCATTGCTTAGCAGAGTCGTCGAGCGGTTGAGTTGCCGGAGTTACAACAGTCTCATCAGGAAATTTTCTCTGACCTCTTGCCTTGCTTTTGACTGTGAGTCTATTTTCAAGATTTTATCATTCATTCTTTTAGTTTCACTCTTTTATGCTTGCGCTCTCACAAATTATTAGGGATTATTATTTTTCACCCTGGTTTAAATTTGCCGCATTTATTCTGAAAAGTTACAGTATAAAGACTGCAACTACTGCTGTTCTCCTTTCTTGCATTGTACATGGTTTAAATGTTAGTATCACGGAGGGTATTTTGCTCGTTTCCTGTAGTTGTCTTTCAGTACTTGTATGAAGGCACAAGCAAGTGGTAATGCTGGTATTTGTATTTATTTTTCATGAATAACGTGAAAGTAAGAAAAATTGTCGTGCGAAATTATGTCCAATTGTGAATTGTTAACATCACATGTGTTATACATCTATTATATCATTCAAAAGTGATGTAATTTCAGTTATTTCCATGATTGATTTTGCCAGTTTTTTAATAATATACTGATTAATTAGATTTTATAATGTACTATTACTGTAATTGCTCACATTTTAGCTGATGGAATAAATAATTTGGGAGATTTTTAGCCTTTCATATGTGATCTTGTTCAGTTTTTCAAAATTCATATCAAGGAATGTATAATGCTGCATTAATTATGAACGAAACTACTGTAATTTGAACATTATATTAAAATTTTCGTAATTTGAACATTATATTAAAATTTTCAGTTATGGTTGAGTTACGTAGATCGATGGGAGGACGAGGCAAAAAGGCCTCGCCGCCATTTTTGTCCCATGAATTTATCATACAAAATCATGGTGATATCATGTCGTGTTTGTTGATGATTGTTGTCGTGGGACTGCTTTTCCAGGTGATTTTATCGTCAGTTTGCCTTATTTTAGCCTTCAGTACTTATAAGCTGTAAAGAAAAGGATAACTTATGAATTTAATCTTCAGCATAAAGACATGTTGGTGTTTGAACTTATTTGCGCATGTTTCACTAAGTAAATATTGTATTCACTTAACAATAAAGCTTTCACCATATTTTTTCTTGCTATTTTTGATCGCAGTTTAATTTTTGTGTCAAAAAATTAAAAAATTTTAACGAAAGTGTTTCAGGGCACTTCAGCAATTGCAAGCATCTTTGTTGTACCTCAGTACAATGAAACTCTTGTACTAACTCCAGATACCGGTAGACCATATTTTGATTAAAGTCGTTAAACATTTCTCAAATTTTGTAATTCATGTTTAATAATGTTTAATTAGTCTATCTGTTCAAGTTTTATTTTTGCATCTCCGGCATCTTTACTTTTTTAAACGAAAGCAATCGAAATTTATTAAAATTTATTTATCATAATTTTTACAGAGTTGTAGATTGAAAAAATTACAGCAAATGCTACTACTTTTTAGAATCCCGAGCTTATTACCGTACTGGTGTAAAAGATATTGCAACTGTTGCATTTTACGCAGTTGGTTGGATTACTGTGCATGCTATTTTGCAAGAATATGTTTTGGACAAGTTGCAACGAAAACTTCATTTAAGTAAGACAAAGATGAGTAAATTTGCAGAGTCTGGACAGTTATTCGTCTTTGCTGCATATTCTGTTGCTTATAGCGGTGAGTCATTTAAAAAAATGCTTTCTGTAAGCAAATAGTTTTACTTATATGCATTTTTAGAAATAATTTTGTTGCACAGCGTCAAAAAGTAAACTCTTCGCATTGAGATTTAGCTTTCAGCTTACATAATGCATGACATGCGCATGCATACGGATGTTACGAAACTGTGGAATGGATATCCTGAAATTCATTGTCACATGAGTCTTCATTTGAAGCTCTTTTTCATTTTGCAGGTAACTTCACTTTTTTCTGTAGTGAATATTATGAAAGAATTACTTTTGTAGTATTCCTCCTTTTTTCTGAGCTCTTTAGTTCGAAAAAAGCTTTAAGGTTTCGAATCTTTTGAATGTGGAAGATCTTATTACAGATTGCATATTGGTTACATCAATTTCCAGAATTTTATTTTCAAAAAATTCGTAAAGATGAAATGCAACCGCGTACAGTATACTCACTCATTTTCCTTTTCTTCATCACTGCTGCGTACTCTCTAAAGTAAGGATTTAATTAGGTTGCATATGTGCATTACATTTTGATCCTTCAATATTTCAAGATATCAAGATATATTCTTAAATTGCTTATATCGTCTAAAACAAATGTGGGATTTTTCACTGTAAAGTTTTCTGTTTCATGTTATCAAATGCATTTATCTTATTTTACTTTTTTTGCAAATATTTTTATACCCCTCAAATCAAAAGATATCTTTCAATATTACTGCCTAATCTTCTATTAGCACTTCATTTTTAGAATATTCTGTTTGTTGAAGAGAACTTTGCATTCGACTGGAATGATATAAAAAATTTTAATGTTAGTGGTATGAGTTGTGACAAAGTAGTGCAAGTAGTTAACGTACTTCATTCAGTTTTGAAAGCTTTATAAGAAAAGAAATACTGCGAAATGATATCCTTTGTGGTTGTTGTTCGTCCAATTTTTTCTCATGATTTTTACATTATTTTTATTGCAGCTTCAATCGACTTGCCTTGGCGCTTCTCTTTCTTGAGTATATTTCACAAAGTGCATTTCATGTCACGCGCCTTTTCCACTTTGCTGAAAAATGGAATATTGCCAAGACAGGGTTCTTTTGACAAACATATTGCTCAAGAAGAATGATATTACTTTGTTACTAGTTTGCAGCTGCTGTGTAATTGTTGACATTGTTGAGAAAAAATTTCCAGTTTTTTGCAGAAGCATACGATTTATCTAGTGTACTTATACTGATCTGCAAAAAATTTCCAGTTTCAAAATTTGGAACATAACATTCGTACTGGTACGATTAATAAGTGCAGTATTAGCTGTGCTTACATTATGGTATGGACTTCGCTCTAATGAAACTCCATATGTTGATCCAGTCAACGGAAATTTCAACACTGCATTTGTCAGGTAGGTTTTTGCTAAAGACAGCATTTGTTTTTTAGTGTTTATTTTGATGCAAAAAAATGACGTTTTTAATAAGACCTCAGAAACCCGTGAAGTTCGTTTCAGGTTAAATAGTTTGCTATGCGTCTTAGCGTTACAGTTATATATGTTGTGGAACTTTGCTCTATTTCATGTGCGTCGTTATCGCGAGAAGCATAATAAAGTGAAAATAGAAAGGCAGCCCAAAATTCAGTTTAGGAGAAGGAAACATTTGAACGACGATGTCAGTTCGTTTTTTTTTTCTATCAACAGAACCTTTGCAATTCAAATAAATTATCAAGTAACCATGTAAGCTTTTGGATTACAAAACTGCTGGACAGTTCTGGCGTAATTTCTATGTGAAGTAGTCTACTGAGGCAATTCTTAGCTAACGTTCCAGGTTCGCGATCTTCCCGAAGCTGACCAACATTCTCGCAAAAAATCTAGTTGATTCAAAGTTGATGGATACTTTATTGTGCAGCGACGAAATTTTATTCGATGAGACGAATTTTTCCACTATCCAGTACTGAGTCATGAATGATTGCATATAATCAGAGCATTGTAAATTGGTGTTATTCTCGAATCTCCCAAATAATTGTAATTATTAACTGTGATGTCAGATCACCCAATTATGTAAATTCCAATCTTCCTTGTTTGTAATTTCGGGATTGGTTCTTCTTTGATATTTATATAAGTTTTGGGGAATTCTGTCGCAAGAGTTCTGTGCATATTTTTTTCGAGAAGTACAACTTCGTCAAGTCTGCGTCTTTCTTTTCGATATGATAGTCATTTTTGTCTATTATATGCTGTCATATATTGAGGCAGGTGGATTACAAAGGACTATAAAGTGATGCCTCCTGATCATATTTTTTTAATCAGTTCAAACTTTTATTTGTCAAATTTAGTAATTGTCACCTTTCATCGTTTATAGTACTTTTTTATTACGTCTCATTGTTCTCTATTATTTTCAGTTTGTGTATTCCGTTATTTCATGTTATGATTCCTGTTTTATTTTAAGTTTGTTTTCAATAATCTGCCGTATATTTTCTTAAATTTATGATATTGCACAGACATATCAGTCACTTCTCTTTCCGAGGAAAATAGAGGATATAGAAGTAAGCGTAATAGGAACGCAAATTATATTCTGCTCAGCAATCATACAGTACTAAAAAGTGCTTACAGAATCCTGTTTATCTGAAACTTGATCGGTAAATGCACACAAGCCTGTCTAAAAAAAAAATCAAAGCCCACAGTCAAATGTTGGGTATGGTTCCTAGATCTCTTTTTTCATTTTCTTTCAGTCCACTTTATGCCCAAACTGTTTACTGTGATATATTTGATGCGCTCGTGGAAACAATGATCAAGAAAGTATGTACATGACAGACAGAATGACTTGTCAATTAATTTCTATAATAAAACGAACAATTTTCAATTTGCTTGCAAGTAGGTAGGTCATTTATCACATTCTACTGACGATCAAGTTTACTCACTTGTAGTGTGCTGTGTTACTCTATTTTGTGCAACAATAAGCATTGGAAGAATGTGATAAATGACCGAGAATGTGATAAATGAATGTGATAATGTATATATATACAAATGCCAAAGACAATGAGCAGACTGAATTTTCATTAAGGAAATACTTTCAATTGATTTCATTCATTATTGTTCAAGAGATGTAATTCCCTTAATCATTCAACTTAAAGTAAGATAAAATTGCGATTTGAAGTTTGGAGAATGCACATGAGGTTGATGACGTTTCTCTGCTGATTTCTTTATATTAGCAGAGTTGACTCCGAAAGCTGGTACCTGGTGATGTGTATCTTGAACTGGAAATGAAAGATTTTCAGTTAACTGAACACATTCATGTAATAGTGATATATTTTTTGATGAAACTAGAAATTCAGATGGTAGCTTAGCCTTAGAATGGAAGCATTCTTTGGATCTTGCCAAATATTTTCTGGATTGCTACCTATGATACTAGAGATACTATGGTCGTGGAAAGTGGGTCTTCAAATTATAGCAAAACTAATAAAGTAGATGTACTTCATAACTACGACATTATTAGGATATTGACAATGCATTTCAAGAAAACTCTCAATTCTTCGACTACTTGAACCAATGTTCTCTTCAGAACACCAACATATCCGATACATCCTGAAATCATCATGATTCTCAGCAGCTATTTGATAAAATAATTTTCAGTAATAGTAAATATATAAACGCACTCAGAATCTAATGCCAGTAATGGGGAAATTACAATCTGTTCCAAAGATGACGTTTTCAAACCAACTGGACTGCTTGATACAAGATCTGCAATATTTTTTCTATTTGAATAATAAGGGAAAATTTACTGTAAACATAGAGTGCAAAAATTCTGACCAGTTTGAACTGCATAGGAAGGAGTCGTATAGAATGAATTTTTCTAAATTTATCTTTGCGATAACAATATTACGTATGCATGATACCCTGCTGCGAATAACGATGCTGATTTACGATGTTTGACTGGAAATCCCAAGGATCTTCTGAGTAATTATCATCGAAAGTAAAGTTCATCGTTTTCTTTTTACGTAAATTTTGAAAAAGAACACATTGAGAACTCTAAATAGTCACAAGCTGTCATGCATAAACCCCAAGACTTTTGTATTTGTAAAGCTAAATAAAACTGATCGCAAAAAATATAGATTAATGATGATTTCAAAGCTTTTAATCACAGCTTCCTATACATCTTTCAAATTTCAGTTATAATGGTGAATAAGTTTGATATCAATAAAATTAACTATGTTACTTTTCCAACTGTACCTTTAACATCTAAAATTTCAAACTTTTAATATTTCTTCTGCAAGTTGTTGAACAAACTTACGGCAGCGAGTTCACACGTACTTATGCTCAGTGAGCGACGAGACGGTAGTGTAACTTGCTGTTCTTCTACATGATCAGCACTCTTAAGAGCTAGCACACCATCTTCTATCTGAAATACTGATATTCATAGATTTTTCATCTTTTTCTACTGCACTGAAAACTTAAAGTTAATTAATGCTTTAGGATGCAATACATCAGTCTCTCCTACAAATTTTTAATTCTCTAAGCAAAACTCGAATTTCTTCACTTAAAATGATTTTGCATGCAATGTTTCAGTCGTACACCTTTCTTCAATGAAGGTATTTTAGCTGGAAATATTTTAAGCTAAGCATTTTATTCTTCTTTAAAAGTCACTCTTCTAATGAATAACTCTTTGGGCTGAAGTACTTACAGTAATTGATACAGTTGAAGTTTCCATGCTTTATTTATAAAGTTTTGTTTGAACTGCAGGCTTATAAGCAAAGGATTTTCCTGTAAAATTGACTAAATTAGTAATCTCAACAAATCCAGGTGATAAATTTTGATTTCGAAATATAACTAAACCTGATCGCCTGAACTTTGCTACCATATTCTTATATGAGACTCTTAAATATATGCCAAATAAAATGTTATTTACTGCAATTAAAGTATAAGGACCCTAAAGTCGACAGAAATCCCAGCACTATAAATAAAATGGTAAAGAATCAGAACAAAATGCACTGAATAAGAGTTGGTCAAATAAATTCTAATTAAAAAGCAGTTATCTGGAATGTTCCATGTTTCCAGTATTTATTTTACGTATTTACTTTTATCTTAAGTTGACTTCTGTAACTGAGGCGTAGGTAAATTCTTCTTTGCTCAAAAAGAAATTGTACACAAAGTTTTAATCTACTGTGACTTCCAAATGCTAAAGGACTCGCCGTCGTAAGAAACTTGTCGTTTATTTGTTCTACATTTCACTCCATATTGTAGAATCACAATATCTCAAAACAGTTGGTAAATTAATAAAGCAGTGTAACTTGAACAACTGCAAAATTTGCCCTTTGTTATTTCAACCTCAGTGAAAAAAAATCGAATACATTTAAAGATAGTCTAAGAAGTTATTCAACAATTCAACTAACTTATCAAGATATTTTTACTCAAGGTTCAAAAAACCGATCGCAATTGCTGCCAACAAAAGTCAGCCATAAAATTGTACATTCCTTGAAATGCATTTCACAACATGGCAACTCATAATCTTTTCTTCTTGAATTAAATCTTAACCTAGCTCATTATTCATTTCCATAAATGTTAGAAAATGAAGCAACAGCACTGAAATACTCCTAGCACACAAAAATTCCTATACTTTTCGCTTCACAACTTGCAGTACTTCTTGAGAAACAAGAAAAAAATTACAACTTTCTTGAAATGGTGATAATTTGGTGAAGACAGAGAGATGACATAGTTATCTGAAACCGTTAGGCTGAAGCTGATACGTTCAAATATTTGATTTGATATTAATCTCTAAAATTATGCATACTGAACAACTGGACAATATAGCAAGCATCATTTCTCGTCTTGATTATTGTTGATCATTACTGATATTTCCATGCTGCAAAAAGCAAAAAAAAAAGAAACTAGATATTGCACAAGTGATATTAAGAACAGCGGTTAAAATAATTATTATGACTATTATGCAAGTCATAAGAACAGCGGAACGCATGAAACACTAAGGAAAAAACAGTAAGAAAGTAATAACAAGTAAGAATCAGTAATCATTATTGCAGCAGGTGGGTTTGCAGTTTCGTCTTCACCAATGTAATCTTTGCATGTATAGCATTAATGGATCAAAAGTCACATCTAAAATGGCACGACAGTCAAGTTTCTGACGTATATCATTTCCCAGAAACAAAAATTCATCACGGCCTTTTGCCACATTTTGATTTTCAGCATTTTGTTAATAAGTCTATCAATGTCCTTTATAATGAATAAATGCATGCTATGTATGATAAATAATGATACTAAATATGGTCTGTATTACAAGACTATAAGAACCGACTTAACTCCCAAAAAACACTACTTCATTTTCAAAATCAGCAAATACCACGTAACATACAATAAAAACTTGCTCAAGGAATTTTCGGTATTCTCATCCATCATTCACTTTCGAATCCCTTCTACAGGGTAAAAAAAATATTCGTCTTTCATGCATTCATCAAATATATTACAAAACTTGAGGACGACACTCAATACCGAAAAATGCCTCAATAGCAAGTTTTCATAAGACTGTACTCCCCTGTATTTCCTATGAAAATTAATAGGGATAAAAAAGTTCTAGAATTTATGTGAATCGTAGGCAAGCTGATTGTTATTTTTTATACGAAAAGTTTTTTAAACACATATAGTCCAGTCCCATAAGTTAAAACCACCACTGAGAGAATGTTTGTGCTTTATCAAGATTCACTCAAGTCAACAAACTTTAATAAAGGGGGTCCGACGGTTAAATACTCCTCATTTTAATGTGCAACAGTAAACCAGTTATCGTACAAACAATTCCTTATACGTATATATTTTTACGATGAAAATCCCTCACGAAGATTAAATCTTAACATGGTATAATCATGCAACTGAATCCACCCTTATTAACAAGAAATTTACTTTTTTTTTTTAGCAGGTACTGCCAGTTAACTAACGCTCGAGAAAAGCGCCCAAAAAATGTCTCGACACTCACTTCCTCATATCAGAATGCTAGTGGACTTTAGAAACTTAGTACTGTAAATAATTTAAACTTCAATCACCTGACCGTTTTCACCACACATATATTCCAGATCCGACCCAAAATGGTTTCTCAAATTTATAAGATTTAACCTTTTCTCATAAAAGAATAGTAACAATACATGACTACACTTTCATTTTTATTTCAGTGACAGATGCACTAGTAACAGATACAGAAAGATGAGGAAATGCTAGTTCACTACATTCACAATACATGAAAATAAAAAATGTTCTAAAACGTGCAAGTAGAGTACAAGGATTCATGAGACAGCTCCAAGAGTAGTAGATTCAAATATTTCTGCAATTTCCAAGGCTAATCGAACTAATTCACTGCACTCGTGTAAGTTAGTAAGAATAACAACACAGGTTCCAGTATTATTACTACAACCCTGATTTGGTTTAATGAGCAGAACTGATGATGCACCTACACCTGCACCAGTATGCATATATATACCTTTTCTTAACCAAGTATCTTCTAAGCCACCATAATTTTCATCCGTTCCATCAATTCTGAACCAGCCCAGAGTATATACATGCCCCTTCTGGTCCGAAATCTTACTTTCCCAGAAAGTTTTAATCGTTTCTGGATCAAGTAAAGGTTTCTTCTCAACTACGTCAGCCAGCGAATGCTCGGATATATAATAACTGGAAAAAAGTTTCACAATGCAAGTTAAGGAACAAATGTAATTAACAATTCAGTATAATTCCAGGCATATATTAAAACACCCCTACTGTTTTTTTAACCAAAAACATCTTAAAAAATCCGATAAATATGTAATTTGTGATGAAAAATAGAAATTTACCTGTAAAGCATTGCATTCGCAAAAATGAGCAAGTCCTTTGCTGTTGATAACAATCCACCACCAGCCCATTTATTTGAATTATCTACTTCTGGTACATTGTTCAATTTATGATTAAGATCTCGGTAATAGTAACTGCAATAAAACATTTCTGAGGATAGCGCAACTATAGTAACTTCTCGGTAATAGTAACTGCAATAAAACATTTCTGAGGATAGCGCAACTATAGTAACTTCTAACGGCATAAGCTAAGTGCAAGCACTTAATCTTAAATAAAAATAGCAATCGGTCAAATTCAAATATGATGAATTGTTTAAAAAATATTTAGGACTTACAATATTTGATAATAAGAAATAAGCCATTAGCATAATTTACTAGTTTTTCAGTAGAAAACGTTGATATCTACGTGAAAATACCTTGCTCGATTTGCGATAAGTGGTAAGTTGAAGTCGAGATAAGAATGATTCATTCCTAACTTTTCGAAAAATTTAGTTACTTGGGCCGAATAGCTACTCCTGACTGCCTTTTCTAATGCTGCACTGAGTAAAGTGAATCCATAGGTTGTATACCGGAATTTGCTGCCTGGTTCTGCAACTAACTCATCATATTTGAATATCTCTAGAGCATCGGTCACAGAATCGTAATGAATATTGGAAAAAAATTCCGACTCATCTCTAAGTTCTACGCTCTGATATTCTGCTGACTGGTTCTCCTTAACTTTCGCCTGAAAATGATAAACTTATCGCTTGTATCATTTCTAGTTACACAATGTAAGATAATGACTATATAACTTAAACAACATTTGATCAATAAAATTTACTAAGCCCAAATATAAGAAAATGACACAACTACTGCCAATCATTTACTAGTAAAATAGTTCGCAATTTAAATAAAAAACTATGTGAATGCAAAAAACAAACAAACAATAACATGCCATTTTTTACGATGCAGCTAAGTTTTGTCATCCTATATTGTCAAACAAGAAATATAAAATGATTTTTAGTAATTTCAATTTGTATCATCTCAAATCTTCGTGAGTATTGCAACCACCAAATTTATATTCTCCTAAAAAAATCTCTACCTTAGACTACAACATTACTGCTCTTAATTCATTTTTTATCCAACATTTACTTACATATTTCAATAAAAGTTACCAAACTTACCCCGCCAAGCTTAATGTAATGATTAGCATGAAACTTAAACATCACACAAGAACATTTAAAAGCAATACATTCAGCTTACTTGATATCTAGTTAGAATTTCACGCAAACAATCCTTCACATCATCATCAAGCCCTTTCTCGGAAGCTTTCTTCAATGCCACCACACAATCGTCTAAAGTTTGGTCCTTCGACTGCAAAAGCGCCTCAGTTATTCCATAGAAAAAACCTCGAGACTTAAAAGTTTTCATTCGGAGACGAGTGCAACAATATTTCAATCGCATGATGAGAGACCTCATACACGATGGCGGTCTGAATCTGTTGTTTTGATGGTTTGCAAGTGATTTCAAAAACAGCTAGAGGTGAGTTGTTATGGACCTGTGTAGAGATAAAATTCCTGAGTATTCTAGTAGATCCAGTGCCTTTGGTTGTGTGATTTTTGAGAGTGAGGGAAAGAGATAGAAAGCAGTAGTAAAAATAACTATTAACTATTATTTTCAGGAAATGGCTTTTTTTTCTACAATATTCCCCTCATTCAGATATCAAACAACCAGTACGGCGAGAGCTATCAACATGTTCTACCATAAGAATGTTATTGATCATTACGAACAACCAAGAAATGTTGGGGCACTCGACAAGAATGATCCTAACGTAGGTACGGGCATAGTGGGGGCTCCAGCCTGCGGAGATGTTATGAAACTTCAGATTAAAGTTAGTTATTCTATTTGCAAAGCAGACATAAATTGTTTCACACAATATTTAGATTTATTGGACGGGATATTAATTACTTATGAAACTGTATTTCAAGATTAAACTGCATAAAATTTTATTGTATGCGCTACATTCTTCCATCTCTGCAACTCGTTCTCGAAAGTCAACCTTCATGAGTGAAAGAAGTAAATAGCTATGCATTTCTTCAAAATATGTTAGCTGCAGACTATATAGAAAGCTAAAGCTGATACGAGTCTATGAAGTAGTAAAGTTCTTATTTCACAGCAGTGATTATGAATTTAGGTTGATGAAAATGGTAGAATTATTGATGCGAAATTCAAGACATTCGGTTGTGGTTCAGCGATTGCATCAAGTAGTTTAGTTTCCGAATGGATTAAAGGAAAGACAACTGAAGATGCCTCGAAAATCAGAAATGATGAGATTGCAAAAGAACTTTGCTTACCTCCAGTAAAACTTCACTGCTCTAGTAAGTAAGATTAATTTTCTGCATCAAGATGACTAACTCTGCTAGCCTAATACCCTGCAATAATGCACTTTTTCAGTGTTAGCCCAAGATGCCATTCAAGCAGCACTAAAGGATTACAAAAGAAAGCAGGAGCCGTCAAGCGGTTGATGGTTATCAGTTGTGTAGCTTATGTACCTAGAATGTAGTACTTTTCTTTATAGTTCTGTAATGAAAAACTGAGACAGCTGTTCTTTTCCTGTACATGTTGATTTTATCACATGATGTATTTATGCTTTTTATAAAATCTCACTGTATTATTATGTTACAATAGAACAAGATATGAGAGCTGATGTCTTCTGATTTCAAGAGGAAAAATGGCCACTGTCATAAGAATGCCTTTAATCATAAATTTTAATCATAAAATTATTAGTTCTATGTCCGTTCTATTTTCCTAATGTAGTCAGAATGATTGTGAGATACTTGATAGTGAAAGACATAACATAGAAAAGTGATAAAAATAACCATTTTGTAGTGTCTGATACCACTCGTATGGTTTAAAAGTTGGCGAACTGTGATGATTACATCTTTCCCGCCAAACTTCTTTTTCGGGAAGTCCGGTACATAGTCCTACAAATCACTACTGTTATTTGTTTTCTCGACAAAATCTACATTTAGCACGACGATTATTTTGAATTGCTCAAGTATCTTGTTGCCAAAACCCTGCTGAGAATGCTTCAGAAGATATAAGACCTGAATTGGTGCATCCAGCTGAAGTTTCCCTGTCTGGACCAAACATGCAGCAATAGCTGCTGTAAGTGGTTTACTTATACTTGCAATCCTCATCACTGTATCGCTTGTACATGGTACCAGTTGTTCGACATTGGCGTAGCCGAAACCTTCATTCCAGATGCAGTATCCATCACAAGAAACGGCAACGGACAAACCAGGTACTCCATTTACCAACTAAAAGGTGCAACTTAATTTCACAACCCAGATTCTATTTTGAAACATCAACAATAAGAGTGAGGATCTCATACGACATTCGGCCATGATAAGATGAAACTATGTCGCAAGTATAAATTTTGACAGGAATACTGGGCCATGGTTTTTAATATTAAAGATCGATTGTAAGTATAATTCAGCTAGTCATAAAATATAAAAGAACAGCAAATTTTCGAATCCTTATTAACTTTGTGTTCCAAATATGTGCACTACGATTCCGGTGGAAAATAAGCAATATTATCAAGAATTAAAGACAAACAAATACACATTATTGCATTCATAGGATTAAGTAGTAATTGATAATTTCGATAATTCTAACAAGGAAAGTCTTTTGCATATGATCAGCACAGGGCAGAAATGCGGTAAGTTTGACGTAGAGATCATATCCAGCATTGAGAAAGCGTGGAAATTCAAATAATGGGGAGAGAAGTCGCGGCGCATTCTTATCTAGCTATTTTTAGCGAAATGACAATATATGAGTACCATATATCGCTTCACAATTCTGCTTGCTTTTTGTTTCTGTTGAGTAAGAGTTGAGGAAGGAAATGAATGATAATCGAGAGTTAATGCAACACTGGCTATGGAGAGAGAGAGGGCTAACGATCGCTGCCACTTCATATTCCTCCCAGGAATTTCCTTCTGTAAATGATAAAATCATTTGGCATTTGTATCACATCTTAGCTATTTCTTATAACGAGTACCAAAAAAGATAAGTATTTGGCCGAGAATGGAAAATGTGGTTACTGGTAATAGAGTGTGTGAAGCAGCTGAGACTATTAGTGAAATTGGCAGTGTAATCTCACTGAGCTATTATTGTATCATAGTTTATCAGACCGATTAAAATATGTAAGATTCCTAGCACTGGTATTATTACACTCACTAATTTAGTTTTTGCTACAAACAAGTCCTATTTCCACATACGTATTCTTCAGCTTTTACATGAAGTATTTTGATGCGTAAGAAATTTCTTCAGAAAAAATTGTCAACCTACCAGAGTTATTAACGACAGTTCATCGAAAAATCTACACTTGTTCGCAGTAAAAATTGATAAACCTACGCGCTCTATCTAGCCACTGCTTAAGTTCTGTCAGTATGTATCATCTGTTCCTGCAACCTGTTTTAATACGGCCAGTACTAACTGTATGGAAACACCAGTCATATTAACGGAAAGAGTAACATGAATGGTTTTCATTTAAAACGGTTTGTGGTTTTTCGTGACTTAGATATACTATGTAGTGTTTATATATTTTTAGTAGTCATTTACGCTCCCGAAGTCTTCACATATAAATGTGAACTCATGCCTTATATTTCCAGAACTCTTTCAAAGCAAAATTAGAATGAGACTTATGCAAATGATGTCGAGTTAATCATGATGATAAGAAATTTACAGCTGTCTGTTAATTCACAGCCGAGATTTTTTCAGAAATTTATTGCTAAAATTTGCAGAAACTCATATACATCTTTTGCAGTTAACCTTGTCATATTTAAGACATTATGACATGATTTCTCACTAGTGACACTTATATTTTGATTAAATTCTTTTAATAAGAAGAAACATCTTAAATTCCACACTGCAAAAAGTGGCCTCGAAATCAAAGTTTATTCTGTGGTCGGCAACATATCATTGTGGCGTTTTATCATGTCTTTCACAGGATAAAGTAAATCCGTTTAACATGATAATGCTTTTACTTCAAACAATGTTTGAAGTCATATTATAATGAAATGCTTGAAATATAAAAAATTTCATTTAATGCAAGTAATTTTTTAAAGAAATCATACATCTGTTCTTGAGTTACTAAAAGTTTTTAAATGAAAAAATAAAACATTGCATGAAGCTACTTTTTATAAAAGACTGTGGTACTGTGACTTAAATCTGTTTTGGTGGTAATATAAGAAGCATTTTTGCAAAGATTCGTAATAGTTGAAGGTTGTCTACATTTTAATTGTAACGCTCACTTTCTCTAATCAACTGCTACTTACGACTGTTTCAGGAAGGTCTAGAAACTAATGAAGCTGCAGGTGAAATAGCTTAATTGCGATTTTTGAATTTGCTCTTTGTAATGATTTAAATAACATGTTAAATTTTGTTACTAAAACTAAAATGATAACTTTTATAGTCTGCAACAAATGTTTGAGTTTGAATACACATTGTTTAATTTTAAACAAGGATATAAATATATATTTAAATCTATTCAAGTAAGGATATAATTAGCGGCAAAAATTAATCGGCATCCAAATGGATTAAATAATTTTTGAAGGGAACAAAGCACATTTACATAGTAAGCATTTACTTGAGACGTACACAAGAAAACAATCTTGTGTCCACAGTATGCTGCAGTGAAATAAATTTTTGTCATTATGGGCAAAATGGGATCATGAAAAAATCATCGCAAATTTCACCATTTTTGAAATTACAAACTCTTCATATATTCACAAACAAATATCGACGTAGAACGTTGCAGCTTTTGACTAGATCATTAGTTGCAAAATAAATGGTGGTAGTCATCGCTTAACAGATTTCACAGAAATATAGTATTGAATGATTACCACAAAAGATAGCCTAAGTGCTGTAAGGTTCCTAGTTAAATAAGATATTCTGAAGTTTTTGAGTGAGCATTCCCAAACCATTTTATGAGTGATCATTTTTGTGTACGATACTGCCATACTTGTGCGCTTTCTTCGTACTCTTTTTTTTTTTCCAGCCGAGCGCAAACAAAGATTTACATCATTGAAGTTAGAGATTTGTACAAGATCAGGTCCAGTAACATAGAGCTATATCAGGTCGATAACGAGATAAAGATAAATTCAGAAGAAGGAGGAAAACAAGGATGCCTTAAATTTGTGTAATGTTGCAAAAATAAAGGAAGTGAAGTTTGACAAAACCCCAAGTTGTTTGATGCTGGGGGGAATGCCAGCTACTGTTTTTGCAAAAGCAAAGCGCAGAAACGACTAGATTTAAGATTGAACTCGTGCGTGTAGGCATGGTGAGATTCGCTTAGACCACCGTCAAAGTTTTAGACCTCACATGAAGTTGTCAAAATTGATTAAGTTGCAGCAACCATTATTATCCTTTGTTACTTATTTTTTGCGGTATCTTCCCTCATTTCAAAAATAATATCGGCTCTTTGATGATTAATTAAAACATGCATTTAAAAGTGAATTAAGAAAGTTACTATAATTATTTTGATCAATTTATTTTGTTGAAATAAACTGTATGAAAGATATTTCAATGACTTCAATTTTAATAACGATATCAAGCATGATAGTTGTATATCACAGTAACTGCGGGTTGCCATATCAACAATATTGATTGATTTTCGGATAAATTCGCATAAACTTCAGCTTTCTAAAGATCATTTGACATAATTTAATGTAATGGTGTCTCCGCATAATTTGTTCATTATTGACAGTTTATCATGATGAAAAATGGTATTTTAGTGAAAAGGTAGAGTTTTGCATGGCAGATTGATCCATTTTAATTTCAGTCCCTCTTAACTGTTCGTAATATGATGAATGTGTACCTGGTATGAAAAGTTTTCTACTTTCATAAATCTCAATAAACTCATTTGTATAGTGATAAATATTGAAGGGACGTAATTCATTATTTTGATGAAAATTTGAAATTTGTTCAAATAGCATAAATACTTGCAACCTTATGTTGCCACATGAAAAAGTATTATTTCATTTACTTATAAAAGTACAGCATTTTTTAATAGTAAAAATGTGTTGTTCTATGGATTAATGCAACGGCATGATTGCACATGATTTTCACAATAAAAAATTGCTCATTTTCACTGAACTGTTCAAAAATGATGAATATTGCCAAGACTTTGAAACTAAGGATGGCATACGTTTTATGATGACACATTCCATAAAGGTATGACATAAGCTTCCTTACACTCTTTTTTACATGTTAATGCATAAATATATAATAAAGTCAGTCAAGCACATTTCTGCAGTTTTGCTGTATTCCCTAATAATTGAATAAGCAGTTGCGAAGAAAGTTGTGAGTAATCTGACTTGATGTACTATATGATTAGCGTATATTTACTAATAGAAGTAAATCAGTATTATTATGAAGATAAAGTAAGCAGCTTATTAGGAAAAGAAGTATGTTGTTGGAAGGAGAATATAGAAAGTAGATGTGTATTTCAAACAGTTACTACATCAATAGTAAATTTACAAACCCAAAACAGACCACATAGAGGAATCCTATCCAACTATTACAGAAACTAATGTTGCATTAATTAACTGATTACTTTTTAGCACTGCTATTGAATCATCAAACTTCTAATAAAATTTAAAGTGCTTACAGTCTTATGAATACCATTTTTCATTTTTTCCTTCATTATCTCTGCGATTCTCTGAATTCATGCCTTCGATGAAATTAAAATTTGGTATTTTATCTTTTAAATTGTAATTGTGATCTCCTTGCATGAACCACTGAGAAATGTTTTCAGTAGATAAAATTTATACATAGCATTTACACCTCACACTCAAATCAGATTGAAATTGTTACTTGCTATAATGGTATCTATTAAATTTTGGCATAAATATTTTTGGTGTAGAATGGTGCATGTTATGAAGTTACTGCTGCGACAATGTTGATGTTAGCCAGATGTCATGCATTATCACGTAACTTTCAAGTCTTTGTATCGTAGTAAACACTATTCCTGTTGTCTTTTAGTAATTAATAATTACTGATTTATCTACTTATTATGCGTTTAACTTTTCTGATGAAATGAACTATAAAATTAAAAAGCTTTCCGATTTAACTCATTCAGTACTGAGCATTTTGCAAACAAATTATAGGAAGAAAATAGCTGTATTACAATTTCAAGTAATAAAGATTTTAAATGTATGGAATTGCAAAATTTAAGTCATTTAAAAAACCTTTAATATGTTTGACCTCAAATAAATTAAAATCTTACTACTATTGACTGTTATTTTTGAAATTGCACTACGATATTTTTTCGATCTTTAACTGTTTTCTGACTCACACCTTAATGGTTGGGTTTTGCACTTGTAAATTCTTTATTATTTCTGAGTCGTCTGATATATGTTTCTAACACACAAATTACAAAATTTTTGACCAATTACTGCTATTTTACAAACAAAATTTTACGAATTATAAGGTAGCGCACTTATATGATCAGACCTGTAATGTTAGAGTTAGTAACAGTTAGCAAGCATTTTTATTGCAGATCACCAAGACAGCGTGAATTGATTAATGTTTTTCCTTCACTGTATAGACTGAGAAAGTCATTCAAATTAGAAGATGAAAAGATTGGGAGGTTTAATTTTGAAAAAATCTCTCATTCACAATGCAAATTATCATGCAAAAGATTAAAACATTTCGTCTGAAATTTTAGAGCATATACTATTTAAAAGTAAATTATGATGTAGCAAACAATTACTGCACAGTTTAAGTATTTTCAACTTATGATGGAAGCTTGAGATTATGGTGTGAGCAATAAAAAACTTATGAACCTCTGCTAAATTTTTGAAGGATAATGCAGTTTAACAGAACAGTGTGCAAAGTTTTGCAAAGCACTTTATTTACTGTGTGCTTGGGCACAGAGATGAGTAAGGAGGAAACTAAGTGTGCGAGGCTTCGTTGTGAGAGAGATTAGAAGCAGTGGTAGTACTAGTTATTATTAAAAGAGTGAAGTGAGGTGAATGAAATGTAACCGAGAGACTGGTACATCGGTTCTTGAACTGCAAATCTTGAGCAGCACACCACTATTTCTATTACGACGAATAATTTGTAATACTGCAGTAGAGCTAAACTGCGGGCATTGTTGCTATTGCACTGTAGCATCAGTACAATGCATCACATTATCTACTTTCTTTTGATTTGGTTAGTACTCATCGGAGGTGTTTGGTCTACTTCTGAAGAACCTGAGGTATTATTCATCTTAACATCTTGCTCACTTAAATGTGCAGTCAGTGTATTCTATTAGTTGGTCGCTAAATCATAATTTGATTCTTGTTGCATCATAAGCACAAGTCAAAGAATAATCATTAAATCGCAAATAAGACTATGACGACTTTCGCCCTCTCATTCATATATTATGTAAACAAAAATATTAGCGTAATAATAGACTTATTGCAACAAAAAAAAAGATTACACGTTCTAGATAATATATTGAAAACTTCATCTGTCTCAAATATTAAAACAATTCCTTCAGTAACTGCCCTTCCTTCTTGTCTTTAAAATTTTGGCGAACCGCTATTATGGTGTTTTTCAAAATTGATGTTCACGCTTAAATACTGATAAGGATGACTAGAACAATTTAACTGTTATCACAGATGACGTTTTTGTGGCAATAACATAATGAAATTAGTATGCGTTTACAGGTAACTTTCGAGCAATTGTACAAATATGGTAAGAATGAATATACTGTAGGTAACTGGGATGATTGCATTGCATTTTTTCTTCGGTCAGTTGAAGATTTTGATTACTTTATTGGTGAGAATACATGGTGCCGTGAAAAATGTGCACGAGAACATAGGACAAACAAGAAAACAGGCATGTTTACTTCACAACTTTATCCAAATTAGCATTTCTAGAGGTACTCAATAATGTAGAACAAAGGTTGAACTCATCAAAACTATGAGTTGATAAGTAACTGCATCCTGACTTTATGCAGATTCTTCATAATTCAAGAGGTCATACCACTTAAAGTTTTGCATACAAACTAAATAGGAAGTAATTTCGAGAGCGTGTCTTTAAATACTTTGAAAAAAGCTTGTCCAAAGCTCATAAATTGTAGAGCTGAGAGATGCTGGAGAAGACATTGCGGAGATCGCATTAATGTATGCTAATGCGCAACATGCATTGTGCTTATTCCGTTGCAAAAGTGAACGGTTGACATCGATGAGGCCATCAGTGAATGATCCTGATGTCTTCGAAGAATTTCAAAATCGAAAACCATATCAGTACATGCAGATCTGTTACTGGAAGGTTCTACTTGCTGATTATTTAATGAGCAGTACAGTTAGTGCATGACCAGTTTTATCAGAGAGAATGGATTTCGTCTTTTTAACAGGTTACTTTAGCAAAATGATTTGGCTTCGGCTGTCAAAAGTGCCTACACTTACTTGGTAGCTAATCCAAATGATCAAGAAACGCTTGACAACTTGGCATTTTACATGGAGCAAGAAGGATATAATGATAAGATGCTTGTTGATGCTCAGCAAATGAAATATGAGGTAAATAAATGATTGGGGTAAGCTAAAGTTACTTAGTGATCAAATACTACTGTAAACTAAGAAAAAACTTCTTTTACTTTTAGCTATGACTATGTTATTTGAAGCTGAATTAAAGACTTGAAATTTCGGTTAATCATTAGTGGCTATAAATTGGTGATGCTTGCAGGCAAGTTATATGAACGGTGTTAAAGCATATAACGATGGAGACTGGCAGCTATGTGTTAATGACTTAGAGACTTCAGTCAAACAATTTTTAGAAGAGGAACAGAAATGCCGATATATTTGCGAAGATAAATTGAATTGGGAAACATTTGATGGTGTTAATCCAGAAATTACCATTATTACTACAAGTTTGTTCTCATGTGCTTATGCTTTAAGAACATGAATGTTACCCAACTCTAGTGACATATTTAAAGTAGCCTGTGTCTCAGGTATATATTTATCTGTGTTACGTTGCAAACATAACTGCGTAAAGAAGTTATCACGAGTAAATGGACATGATATCGAGTCTATTCTTCCCACGTATTTCGACTATCTTCACGTTTGCTACTACAAATGTTAGTTCATTAATATGAAGTTAAAAAATTATGACTTTCATTTCTTTGACCTTGCGAGTTATCGTACTATTCAATCAGAACATGATATTCATTATTAGACGAATCTGTATACGTACATTATACCCTTGCAATTGTTACTCGGTAAGAGCACAAAATGTATCGCCCTTCCATGTTCCCACATTCAATATAAAATTTTTATACACATTATTTGGAAGCTTTCAGTAAACCGTGGAAGGGATGTTTGTGAAGCCGTTGCAAACAGCATCTTACTGAATCCATATAATCCTATTATGCGCCGCAATAGGCTATTTTATTCAAGAACATACAAGAAGGATGACCTCTTCAAACCAACTGATGTAAGTTCCAGATATGCACATTGGTAACAAACATACAAATATGTATATTTATGTATGGTTTTTCGCAGTCAGTTCTGATTACAGGAAATTGTTGAATTTCACAAACGTTATGCAATTGAACAGTTATTTCTCGATTTTGTAGATGAACGCTTCAAGTTCGAAAATGATGAGGCAAGCAAAATTTATTTGCAGTTAAATCAACTTGCTGTAGCAAGAAGGAAATAATCACTTCCAATTTGCTACTCTGTCCCTCGTTAGGGGGTACATTTTATAAATGAGCTGCTTGCTTACTATTTGAGCCCTATGCAATTCTTTTCTCTCGTGGAATTCTGTCATACTTTTTGCATCTGTGAGAGCTCACTAATTCTGCAAATTAAGATATTAGACTGATGTATATTCCTCAAAATGTGATTTGCAGTTACCTCCTGAAAGAGTAGATGATCGTCTTCCATTAGATCTAATCATACCCATCAATGATGATTTCGATTACTCAGCAATTGAGAAAGAACTGCTGAGCGAAGGTGAGTGTTCAGCACTATCTGTAGCCGCTATATTCGAAACAAGAACTGCTCAACAAAAGAAATTAATGGTGGAAGTAACAGACCGAGTAGCAACACGATACAGAACAAAAACTGAACTTCGCTCCCTTACTTGCTCCCCAGAAACGATGAATATTAAGTGCAATCATCAACTATTTGTTGTGTCCATTGACCGATCAAGTTGTGGAGCATTTCCAAGTGAACCAAAACCAAATACTTGCTCACTTATTTTTTGTGTAGGTTAATAACCAAATCAAATTCTCACAAATATAATTAGTTATACTTCAAAATAGATACATTAGCCAATTCAAAACAAGCATCCAATCCACAACGGATTTTCATCAAATAATGTTTGATATGAAATGAACTCCGAACAGAATAAGCCGGACAAATGTATCTTTTCATATCCAACTCATAAATAATTTTACAGTAAGCATAAGCTTCTGAATGTTCGACGAATTATAACGAACAATAAAACATTATTCTTTCAACGGCTCTCACCTTCTACGCCATATTTTCAAATCACAGAAATTCAATTTTATGTTTAAAAAAGCCTTTTAAATTTCAATAATGAAACGTATATGCTGAAACTGCCCACAACTTATGGGGCTAATTTATCTCTATGATTTAATTAGTGCAGAAAACAACAGTGTCCATGGGGCTTTTAACATAATAATATACTAGCATACTTGCGAGTCATTACAGTTTCAGAACAGTCTACATGTGTCTGAAACTGTAATGACTCGCAAGTAAAGAAAAACTAGCAAGAACAACAATAAAATGGTTGTCCACTATAAAAAATTTTGATGGTAGACTTTAAATGTTTGAAGGACAGAAGACTTTTCCACCGCCTAAAAATTACAAGCTCTAAACTCAACTCATGTAAATACATCGAAAAAATAAGGCCACTGTATCAATGCGACATTGGTTTATGACCATCAACATAAAAATTCCTGGTTACGCACGGTAACGTTAGAACAATACCATCTAATTCTTTGGTCAAATTTATTTGACACGAAAGTCTGGAATTCGGTTTTAATGCGGGGGCCATATCCAACATATCATCCTCATTTTCCTTTGCTTCAGGTAGTTTCTCATAAAAACCTTGTTCAACGTATACATGACACGTTGAGCAAGCGCAGGAAGCTTCACATGCCCCTTCGATATCGATTTTATACCTAAAATTAAAAATCATAAGTCGCATTCAAAATTAAAATACAGAACTATTGAATTTTATGAAAAAATTGCAAGACATCTAATTTCTAGAACTTTAAGTAAATAATAATGCACTTGGAACTAATTACATTATGTAACTGCCACCCTCATAAAATATGATGCTTAGAATGACACACAACAGAAAATATTGATGAGAACGTAACGTACTAGATTAAATGCATCCAGTCTTTTTTAATTTATAAATAACTTAAAAAGACTCCATAAGAAGCTTACGGAAAGACACTACATCCTCAATGAATTCAAAACACAATCTTAATTTGCGTTGAAAAAGAATGACTAACATTACTAAGCACACACCTATGCGCAAGATGCATTACATTATCACCAACTTTGCCTTTAATTTTCTTAACAGTTCCATCTTGCAAAACGAAGTTGACATAAACGACATCGCTTTCCGTAGCTGGATCTTGATATTCGAATTCTCTAGCTTTTAAACTGATGTCCAAATGAAACATTAATTGTCCCAATCTCCTCGGTGAAGGCCCTCGTAGTAAATAAGATATCATATTTTCTAAAGAATAAAGAACAACTTCATTTATGTAATACTGCATTAATTTAATTAATTTGATACATGCCTCAAAATTCAGACTAGGGACTTAAACTGTAAGAGAAACTGAAATCACAATAATTTCCAAATTTTGTTTACTTTAGTTTTTGACGTGTTCATTGATATACAGCAATATGTAACTAATAGTTATTTAGTAAATATGACTAAAATTGAAAAATAACTTCGAGCCAATCATAGTGATTACTGATTTCAAATCGAGTAAATATTATAGAGGATGTTGCAGCAATACAGCATCCAGTAGATGGCTTTCTTGACCGATCGCTCAACGAATATCCATTGTTTTCATCCTGAACGGCTTGTAAGGCGACAGATGACAGTAACCGGAAACTATGATTCGAAATCTAGAGAAGGAACAAAATTCTCTTGCTACAGTTACGTTAATAAGTAACTGAATAACTTGACCGTACTTAGTAGTACATAATATTAAAAAGGCTGAAATGAAAGCTCTCAAAATACTTGCAATGAAAACTTAAAGAAAACAAGGCTAATTAACAAACAGACATAAAAAATGCTAGAAAAATTTTCAAGCATTAAGATGGGTATAAAAAAATGGTGATCCAGATTTACAAGATATATAGCAAATTTATTAGCAATTCATACTTCATCTCCCAAGAGTCATGATGATTCAAGCCCAGTCTACCCTTTGACCTCATACAATTTTTGTTCCTTAATATTCATTCTCTCTACTATTAAGATACCCTATCTTGCTTTTTTCATCTATTCTTTTCCATCTCTGTTAAAGCAGCATGTTTAATTGTCTATCTTTTTTCCACATTAGCTATTCATACTCTAACCGTAGCGTTATTCTTAATGGTCTCAAAACGGTCTTTGGTTCTTACAATATGGCTGACTGAAGGATGTGTTACTGAGTTGAACGAGTGAGGTTAGTTGTTATGATAGCAAAGTTTGAAGATGGAAATTAACTTAGTCAAAGTATGGAAATAATGAAATTCATGGCATTGAGTCCTTGAAAATGTTCACATCCTCTTTCTGTGAATAAATAAATTGATTCAACCATTCAGAATGGTCCTCTAAACATAAGTAACAACTAATAATAACAATTTCATACAGTAATAGATTACTGCATTTTAGATGTGGCATACTTGTGCGTTACTTATCATTGCTTGGTCTCCATTTTGTGTTACTTTTGATACTGTCATATTTTCAAGATCTGGTTTGAAGTGGGTTTTTATTTTGTTATCTTCTTGTAGCACATTATTCCCATCAAAAATTGATTTTTGTGAGCATTATTGCAGTCTTTAGTGCACATCGTAACATTAAAATTAACTTTATTATATTTGTTAATCAAAACCTGCATTATCCTTTGGGGTCGAAATTATATTTTATTTTCATAGGAAAATTTCGGTGAAAGATATGGCTGCTTCACTGAAAACATTGACTATTGGCATCAACGATTTTACACTTCCGAAATTTAACTCTTATGTTGTGCGGGCATATGATGCCGACAACTCCGCTGGGCCATTTGCATCTGTCATACGGATTTTCCCTCATAGTAAAATCCTTTCAGTGGACAATCCGCTGGTAATTGCATCATCCAACAGTGATTTTTGGTTTTGCAGTTTTTCTATAATGTGTATAATTTTGACTTTTTTGAGCTGCCCATAATATATGAGTAGAACATTTTATTTACATTAGTTACTCCAAGAATTGTGAAGTGAAAAAGCATCTGTATAGTTTTGAAGATTACCAGATTTATGCATGCGGAGAATATTCCCAGTTTTCAAAGTACGGTGCGTGTATAATTTTTTTCCGTGTTTTCTGTATAAAAATTATATTTAGGTAATTTCAAGTGGTGACCATACTCAAAAACGTGTTCGTAACATAAAGGTCGATACTTTTGGTGATTTGCTTAATATTTTCAAAAAAGAAGAATTTTTCAACGATTATGAGGCAGTCATAATTTCGTCTTCAAATGCTTTTGAAGAAAAATTGGTTCGTTGTTTCTGCGTTTGAGTAAGGAGTTCAATATGCTTTTACTAGAGAATGGTTATATTAGATATTACAGATTAGGAATAAGCGGGTATCTTCTGATGTCACTTTCGATGAAGAACCAGGCGTTGATGAAGTTATAGAATCAAGAAAACAGTCAGGCAGTCAGTCACACTTATCTACATTAGATCGCTATGTAATTTTTTTCACAATGTAGCGTTTTTAAAGATCAGGAGTAACATTTATTGTCGAACGTATAATATATCAGTCATGAAAACTTTCACGACTTCGTAAGTCTGGCCATCATTATTTTTTGTTGAATGAAGTTCATGAGAAACGTTTAACAAATTTTAAAGTGCATTAGTAGGAATGAGTAGTAAAGATATGGGACTGTTTTGTTGTCTGGTTTTCAAAACTGGATTCTGGGTTTTCAAACTGCAAGAATCTTTATGGAGATCAACAGATCTATGCGCAATATTTTTTTCTTATAAGACTACATTCCATCTTAATTCTCGCAGATTGGTAGCTTAAATGTAATCAAAGTCAGTTTCACTGCAATAGATTATTTATATGCAGAAATCTGTGAGAATTTTTAAGGTTTATAGCTATACAAAAAATTTTTAAGGTTTATAGAACACTAAAAAGTGTTTAAAACATCACACTGCTTGGCCGTTGCCTATTCATAATTGCTTGATGAACAGCACACTTTTGATACTTATTAATTAAATGTTGATGCAAAATAGTGGGTATCTTACTTTTGTGAATGTAGTAACATAGTTTTCCAATGATAATATCATATCTTAGTCGGATAGATTGTGGAGACCGTTATTTATGTTTCATATTTTGATTGATTGTTTATGAACACTGAAGTTATGTGTTTTTTTAAACTTCATCCATGTTGAGATGGTTTTAATTTATTGTGAAATCACTCTAAATTTTTTAGGACTTGCCTGTAATATTGCCTCCCTTGGATTCATCTCCGATTAACAGTTCATGTTTGCTTTACATGGAAGCATTTGATATTCTTATTCCAAATTCTCGTTCCTTAACTGTTGATAGTGAAAGCAAAAACAAATATTCATATGACCCATTTCACTACAGTTGTAACACGAAAAATAACGAAGGAACTGCTAGGTTAACTCCACATATTTTGTCCATTTTTAGAACTTGAATCTTTTTTTTCAGCATCTGAAACTAAGTGTACCATTATTATTAACTTAACGACAGCTCTGTGATACTAGTAGCACTGTTGTAGAAAAGCACGTTAATAGTTTTATTTGGTGATTGAATTCTATATATTCTAGCTTCTTGGTCGATGTTGAAATTGGAGAAAAAATAGAAGATCTGAAAAAAGAATTCTTTTTACCACGTGGAACAGTAATATCTTTTAAGTAAGGTTAATACCTGAATTCTTGTAAAATGTCTATACCCAGTAATTTGATATGTAAAAATTCTTGGTTTTAGATTAGATTTCGTGCGAAGTCGTAATGGTTATTGGTTTTTGGATGGTACAACTTTGATGAAAACTTTTAAAGTTGTTCATGAAAATGACAAAGTTTGTTTTTTGTTATTATTCATGTGCAATTCACTATCAGTTGTTTCCAGAAATTTCCATGTTGCTTGTGCTGCAGAATTTTTGGTAGAGATATAGTCGCGATCAATTTATTCAATACACTATATTAGTTAGACATTGAATATTCATTTAGCGTGATTTAACAATACAAAGTGGTACTGCTAGAAATCAAGTGGATGTTGGAGCTGCTTTTAATCACAATTTTGCTTGTCATCAGACTGGAGCAGCAGTTTTCAATACATCTGATGGGGATCTTCAACATATCGGAATCATATTGCGCAACTTTGAGGTGTGTTAATTCAGTATCCAACTTTTATGTTATATTGTTTGCATCTTTCACTTTTATAAAGCAATAGCTTTTCACATTGAATCAGAAAGAAGATGCAGCAAGCTGGACTTATGTTTGTTAAAGGAAATTATCACTGGATAATGAGCCCTATAATTTCGCCTACTTCAAATAGTGGAGATATTACTTTCAGATATCTTTGGGTTTGATAGGTCCTGAAATTAAGTTTGGATATCATACTTCCGATTGTATTGGAACATTTAGTGCCGGCACATGGATGGGTATCATTATTTCTGTTGTGCTTTCTAGTGTTTTGTTGTTCGGTTATTTGATGGTGCAGTCAATACAAACAATGGACCGATTTGACGATCCGAAACAAAAACAAATTGTTATCAATTTCAAAGAGTGAATAGTAAATAATATTAAATTACTGTATTAAGTGTTTATAATTTTTTTTCTCGTCGGCTTTTTGCTAATACGAATTTCCATTAGCGGATCACTTTAATTTATGAAGCTAGAAAAAAAATATTCTTAATGTTTGACGGGCATGTTTGAGACTGTGTTTCTTCCTTGTTTATAAAATCAGTACTTTTTCTTAGGTCATCACAACATTTAATTTCTCTTATTGCTGCACCTGTGTATTTGACGTCTATTTCTATTTTCGGATCAATTGTATCGTCATTTTGTGTTTGTGATCAAGTAGCATTTATATATATTAAAATTCGATTATTAAGTCCAGCGGTATTTTATTTGTTGACAATCAATGCTAGCATTGTGCTGAATTTGGTGCTATAAAGTCTTTTTAATTTCATTTCGTAAAAAATAAGCTTGAGATTAGTTTCGGAAATGGAATTTATTGAAGTGAGTTCGATCACAAATTGAAAGCTTCTAGCTGAAAAATATTGTTATTGCAGTGTTTCTCTTCCTGAACTATTGATTCGATCAAAATACGAGGAAAATTTTAGTCAATATCGAGTACTGGTTGTGTAGTTAAGGCTTTTCATTCCTAAAGCACTACTGATCTACGCATGTTTGCTACTCTATTCATGGTGATTCTGCACATTAATATTATTTGCAGTAAACTGTGATCTATCTTTTTGTCATTGGTAATTATTTGATTGACCGTTTATTATATCTTTTTGTTACTGCTGATTTTTTAATCATAGTTTAACAAAGTTGTTAGAAATAATGTTTGTTACATGACATGAATGCCGTTTTTATGAGCACTCGTAAAAGTGGGGTGCTCTCAATTTTTATCGCAGAACCATGATGGCTGACGTAAACTGCAGACGTTTTAATTTATAATTGGATGAGTATTGCATTATTGACTACCACTCTAGCACAAAATCGTATGTGATTGATATTGTAGTAGTGATGATCTCTTTCAAACTACAGGTACAGTGTTTCTATTTTTGCTGTCAATCATTAAGTTTGAGAAATCAAAGGAAAAGAGAGGTGTACATATGTGTGATCGAGTGGGTTTGTAAAACAGCGTTTTAGATTCATTCATCATGACATAAATAACTACTATTATCACCCATGCTTATTTTGTCTTAGGTACTGATGCTATTACCATATAATTACTATAAAATATAAATCTGAGAATTAAAGTATAAGTTACGGCTATTGTACACAGAGAATAGTAGAGTGTCGCATATTCATATGAGGTCTACCATGTCAAAATGATTAATCTATCCGTTTGCTATTCTTGTTTTCAAATCATTGGCACTTTTTGTTTTAAGCCGCTTTCAACAATTCAATTTCATGTTCTTTCGTAGTAGGTACTAATCTTGCTTCTTGATTATAAACTTCAAACTGACCAGTCTCATGACTTTGAAATTCTTTTGTAGTAAACTACATATTTTGAATGAATGATGACAAACTGGGTTTCTGTTCTTTTATATTATTGCATGTGTTCGTTCACAGTGTATGCTGGTATTCTTCAAACCGCACCGTATACGTCTCTTAGCAGTGGAACGTTTCAGAATGCACACTGAGATGGCAGCTTTTATTTAATCATATTCACATGATCATTGATTTCAAATGTGATAAAATGAACTCTTACTCTTACAAATGCTATATTTTGTAAATATTCTTGAAACTCTACACTGTACTGATTCAAACTCATAAGTTAAAAAAAAATGAAAATCTGGTGCATGTATTTAAACGAAATTAAATTGACATTCAATGTATGGTGCAATAATTTTCGTATCTGATGGATTAATTTGTGATTACTAGCAAGTCTGGTATAATGATGGCAATAACAATAATTAATTCAGATGCAAATATACCATTTTAAGTCAAGTATATGTTATTGCATGGATTATGGAGTGGCTGTAAGAGCTCATTCTGAAAGAACACTGATAACCAACAAAAAAAATTGATGAGGAAGGAAGATAGAGGATCCAAATGAAAACAATATAGGCATTCAAGAGAAGAACAGAATGGGCGGTGATGTAAGATAAAAGAAAATTTTCAACAGCAGCAATTAAAACAGCTACAATAATAATTAAAACTGGCAATGAATGTGTAAAATGATGGTAATATTGGTAGTATGATATTCATTTATGATAAACTTGAAATTTGCATGAACTTTGCTCTACACACGTTTTGTCGAAAACAAAATTAGAAAGAATTAAAGGACATTTTTTGAGCAGCAGTTCATAAGTCTCTCTGCATACATGCTCTAATATTAAGAAAACATGTTAAGACGGACATTACATTATCAATCAAAAAAGTATTTTATGTTTATGTGTCTTCAAAGCACTTCGAAGATAATTCGTGAACAAGCTACAAGAAGTAAATTCTGCGACTGAACAGCATACAAGATATGAAGTGTAAGCTTCAGTCACCTTCAACCTACACTGACGCGCTCTTTTTATAGCAAAAAATTTACACTGATTTTCAATAAGAAAACTGATAAACAAACAGTATGAACAACTGCAGCTAGATAGAACTGATGATAAAAGTCGCTGTTCGGCACAAATGAGATTATTGTGGTCGCAAACAATGTAATAATGATATACAAAAAAATTTTAGCAAAACTCGAAACAAACTCCGGTGAATTAAAGCTAGTAAATGAAGTAAAATACCTTCAAGAAGGCAAAAAATAAGTGAGTACTTAAAACGGGTTTTCGTAGTTCAAATTAAAAATAATACTTGAGAGCAAATAAAAATTCAGAATGCTTCTTTAAATATTTTCATATTATGTTAGCCAGAACAATGTGTTTGCGCCACTATTCATTGAAATCCTAAATTCTAGCTAATGATGCAGGTGGATTTAATCTTTCTTATCTAAACCTAGCTTTGTTAGATAACTGAAATATCTCATCTAACGCAAGAAAATGAACGAAATGAACATTCAAGAATCTCTAGCAATTTCACTTATTTATTGTTTTTGCTCTCGGTAATTAAAACAAAAAATAAAAAAATAAGAGCACATAAAGATGTATGTACCTAAAGTCATCAAGTGTCTTACGATATTGTAGTACGGACAAATAGCATAAAATATGTTGACTTATCAAGAATACTTGAGAAAAAATAAAAACTGATATTCCTTTCACAATAACCCATATATGTTGGAAGAAGAAAGAGCTTCACTACCTTATTAATACATTAATTTTTCCCATTTACTGAAAAAAATGTGCAGCCGCTTAAGCTAAAAAACATTTACTCATATAACCAATTTGTTGGGAAAACAATGATTGCTACAGTTGTGATTCCAAACGAAACAATTTTTTTAAGCTTTAAAGCCTTGGATACACTCTAAATAAAAGATAATGATGTTCCTTTTAAGAAATCAGCTTTTTATCACTACCTCTGAGTTATGACAGTGAGCGATAAAGCTCATCATTTTCATTTAATAATCCAGTAAAAAAACTCACTACCTCTTCTAAACATCAATCTTGATTCAAGGATTTCAATTTATTAGCAACCTGCTGTGTAGTTAATTTTACTTTTTCACTCCCTTGGTAACCACCGCAGAATACAAAAATTATGAAAAGATTTCATGCTTTGTCCTTTTATCCAACACCGACACTCAGATTTTGCTTATGGTCAATTTCAATTATTAAACCTTTGAACTTGTCTGGACTACACTGACCGCAATAGCCGCCACAACGTCCAAATATCCGTGCATTATTCTAGAATAACACAACAAGCATGCACATGAGTAGTAAATTATGTTTCTAATAAATACAAATTTTATTTGATTACTGAGAACATAAAATAAGAATAGTTATGTATTGAACTAGTAATTGAAGACTTTGAGAGTCTTCCTGAGCTTCACTACCTTATCAATATATTTAATTTCCCAATCGCTAAAACAACTGTTTTATTTTAAATAAAACTACGATAAACATACATCGGAGCGTTCGATTCTCGAACTTGTTCGATGCCCCTGATCAATCCATCGAAGGTCATCCATCACTCGGAGACCCGTTCCTCGTAAATCAATGCCGAATTGACCCTAAGTATTATGGAAATGAAAACTTTGCAATGAAATACAACAATAATGCTTAAAAAGATAACAAAAAGCAACTGATGAATTCGATTATATTCCTATACTTTATAAAAATGCAACCTGTGGGCAATCAACAGCGCTGTAACAATCACCCGCTGTTGCAAATGCAACTTCTTCACCATGTGATGTCGTTGCAAATGTATGATCGTGAACTGCAACGATGAGAAAATATTTTCAGTAAAAATCATAACCCTTAAGCATGCTGCTGAAATCCTAGAACTAATCGATTATTTCAGTTTCATTATGTTCACTTCTCCAAAAAACACTATCTAATGAAAAAAACACTGTGATAAAAATTAATCCAGATAAATCTTAAAAATTTTACTAATGATCACCAAATAAATTAAGATCTTTTGTTGTCTGCTGTTAATCAACTAACTGTTGGTTGCCTTCCTGACGGCATCAACTTGCAACCCAAATATTACTGTTGAAACAAGGAAATTTTTTTCCAACCTACACTAAAGTTTCTAGTCTTATGATTTGTTTAAATTTCAACAAAAAAAAACTTGCTATTTATTTTCATATTATGAAGATCAACACGGAGTTTCGAAAAACTCGAAAAACCAGCACTTGCACTACCGTCATCTGTGCACATGCATGTGTCATTACGTTGCCCATTATGAGGACACGTAAATGGGTACAATAATCTAAAAAATTGCTTGAAATCAGACAATTTAAAAATTCAAACCAGTTGAATTTATAATTCCAGTGATCTTCATATTCATTTTAACAGAATCTATAATCAAAATTGCAGAATTAGAAGTATCAAGCATACTTCATTTACACATTCATCAGCACATTCAATTTTTTAAGCTAAAACTTATACAGATAAATGTAAAGCAAGATTTGACACTGCAAGCACTCTTAATCACTGTTTTACTGCAAAACTCTCACTATTAAATCATCGCTCATAATTATCTTCATTGCTGCTACTACTACCTTTTGCCGTAAATTTCAGCGAAATTAGTTTCGCTGTTCACATTGATATATGTTTTTGGTAGTGTTTCATTCATTAAATGACAAAAAACGGTGATACGAAAACCAGCCACCAAAACAGTGTAATTGCCATCGACATTGTTCTCCTGTGTATTATATGCTTTCAACTCTGCACAATCACCCGGCAAACCTGAAATAAGATGAAGCAGTTTAGTTTAGTTAAGACCAAGTTTTTTAACTACTTTTGCTATGCAAAAAAATGGTTGACTGCTTAAGAGTTGAGAAAAAATTGCCAGATTATTTATGATACTGAAACTATTTTCGCTGATTTAGCTCATGTGTATATTATGCCTTATGCATTTATGCACAAAAAATGACGAATAATTATACGAATTATGTTTCATACTTTTAGGAGAGATTTTTTTTTGTACTCGATTTCATATAATGTGATTTATGCTGACTTGCGTACATAAGTTAATACTTACAGTTCCTTAGAAAACAACTTTCTCGTCTTTTCGGTCTATCCGGACTGCGATCACACAAATCTCGAGATACTCGCCGACCATCTCTGTCAAGACATCGTACGCGACGCCTTCGAAAGCCTAAACCGCAACTTGCCGAACACTGTAATTCGCTTGTAAGTGATTGTTTTTTTTATCACTAGTTTTACTTCGAATTAATTTTATGATTCTTTTAGTGAAAAAATAAATCAGCATTAAAAATTCGCAATACACAAAACAAAAAAAATGAACACTTTCGTACTGTGTGAAACAAAAAACAAACGCAAAAAGATTTCAAATAGAGCCATAAATGATAACTTCTATCACCTTGTGCTGATTTATACCGATACCGAGTGTGATAAAGATTATAATCAATTCGAAGTAAAAAATTCCATTGAAGAAAATTTTTCTAATATTTTCAAATGCAATTTGGAAAGTGCTGAAACGAATACGAAAGGGAAGGAAGAAAAAGGGAAAAACACAAGATAGAAAAATCATTACTTGCGACCAAGGGCCAACAGACCAACGATATTTAGCATCACATGGATTTATAGCACATTCCTTGCTCACTGATGGTCGCGTCAACCCATTACACATTCTTGTCTGCACACTTGCTTCAGCACTGAAGTTGCTCGTTTTGCTTCGAATTCGACATTCAATGGGACGAAACTGATATCCTGTACCACATGTTTTTGAGCACTATAAAAATACTCATGTATATAATATAGTTTTCTCAGCTTTGCCGAGGTGCTGAGCGGTTGACTCTGAGCGGCTACGCTCAAGA